CTTTCTGGAAAGTGTTCAGCTGCTCCTTCTACCACTAGAGATATAGTGCTCTAGTCCTGAGAACTCTATGGTAATTTTTTAATTTGCTTAATTTCAAAATGGACGTATCCCAGCTTGGTACAGATGTAGAGCTGAATTCTGTTTTTGCCAAGGAAGACTCCTGAGGAGTACAGGCTAAGTGGAAGATCCCACTCATCACATCAACCCTGTGTGTTAAGGAATCCCTTGTTTACACAAAGAGATGTAGTGGGATGGAACAAGCTGCCCAGCTATACTGCTGAAGCAGATTTCTCAGAGATACTTAAAACATGGCTGGACAAGCTCTTGGACCAAGCAATGAAGTGAGAAAGATATGTTGAACAACTTTCTCTTGTTTGTTTTTGTGTCCTTAAGGTTTGTGTCCTTAAGGTTTACCATCATAAATATGCCTAATGGCTTCTCATGTGCACCGAATCTTAAGTTTTACTCTCATGTTTTTGTGTCCTTAAGGTTTACCATAATAAATATGCCTAATGACTTCTCATGTGCACCGAATCTTAGTTTTACTCTCATTTACCATGCTGGTGCAGTGCTTTTGTTAGTTTTACTGAGTTAACTAGATCATCATAATGTGCATGACCACTGTTACTGTCCATATAAGCATTTTCTGTAGTAATTGTAACATTGAGATAGTCTAGTGGCAGGTCATGGGGGAAATGTACTGAACTCCAATCACGGGAAAGCAGCACGGATTTAGAAGGTACCTTGCCAAAATGATGTCAGTCTGTTTTTGAAGCCAAGGTAGCTACACTAAATATTAGCATTAAAGACACTTTAAGGCATAGCTGAGATTTAGCTTTGAATGAGTTTAATGTAACATGAATTCACAAAAATAGTACCTTCTGTAGTAAATGAATGCATTTTTGTGTGCAAAGCTTTATAAATGGAAGATCTTGAGGTTATGTAGTGAATATGCACACTACTGTGTAGGCTTACATATGCTTATAATATGTAACTGTTTGATGACAAATAAATTCTGTAATGGTTCTTAGAGTTTCTGGTGTGTTTTTGTTATCTGAAGTGTGTGTACTGAAGGTCGTTGTCGAGTGACCTGATTTATCACTGGTTCCTCAAGTGTCTTTTTCAGGGGCTGAAAGTGGCACTCAGATGTAAATTCCATAGTTGCTCTCTGTTGAGCAATGTGGTTTATTGACACCATTAAAAAAGGATTTCCCAATGTTATTAAACCCCAGTATAAATGTTAGCTCTAAAATAAAACCCCAAGCTCCATATTTCACTGAAATTAACTGAAGTATTTGAAACTCTTTTTTTTCAATGTTTGAATTGAAATCCTAGTTTAAAATATAACTTCACCTACAAGGATATTCTGGCCTGATTCTTTGAATCAGTGTTCATGTTTTTTTTTAAATTACAGCATAAAAGGCTTGTTAAAATAAAAGGGATTGTTACCATACTGTCTAATGAAACATTTGCATGCACAAACCCACAATTATTTTCAAATGAAAATATTTAAAATATTGAGCTACTTGCTAAGATGCCTTGCACAACCTTGTCATTTTTTCGTTGAAACTGAAGACATAAACTAAAACAAGGTCTTACAATGTCGGCAAGCAGAGGTTGTGTGATAGAGATCTCTGCTTACTGAGTGTGAAAATTACGGGAATGTGCATCAGGGGCTGTCTCATTTTCCTGTTTTCAGGCTGTACGGTTTGCGTTTTGCACTATGAGCCCTTGTTAGCTGGCACTACTGAACGAAAAGTCGTTTGCATGTTCAGAAATCAACTTCCCATTCAGGTTTTGGCAGTGCCCACAGCAGGTCAGCCTCCATTTTACCTTGTGGCCTTTGCAGATGTGTGCCATGTATTTGTCATGGGCATTCAAGGCAGGTGTGAAGGTCTTTGATCATGTTGCCTAGCCAAGCTCAACCCTGAGAGTCGTCCCAGGAGAACGTGCAGAGGAGGAAGGTTGTCGGCTGAATCAGACAGCAGCTCAGCTCAAGCTGACTCTCCTGTGATGTTGTGATCATGTCTGTGTGGTCTTAAGTTGTGCCAGTCACTTTAAAAGCGTGCTCAGATTGCTGACGTGTGTGTGTGTGTTTCAGAGTCCAGCGGGAGCAGCTGGCTGCCATCTTCAGACTCCTGAAGGAGAACAAGGACACGTTCGGGGAGATGACAGAGGGGGACGTGGAGGAACAGCTGAAGCTCTACTCCATTTAGAAGGGCTCAGCTCACCCTTTACCGTGGAGAACAAAACAGGCATTTTTACATCGGTGCGGAAAAGGGTGAACCCGAAAGCTCACGTGTCCAGAACAGGGTATACAACTCAGCTCCTGCAGGGTTGCAAGAGGACATCTGTTTTCAGTCCTTGCCTCATCTCATTTATCACTTCACCGGACATTTTTTTTAAAAAAGCATTAGAAGCATTTGTTTCTTATTACCATCTCCATGTGGAATCGCCAACATTTTTCCTACTCGGCTTTATAGGGCCGACTCCTGTACTGCACGGGGACGGTGAGGACAGTGAGTGGGCCAGAGCCAGCTCCTACTGCGGACGTGCCCCTCTGACACGCCCATTAGGCTCAGCCATCAGCCGTGCTGGCTCTATAGTGCCTTACAGGACGGTTAACGCCGATCAGAGCAGCACTGTTTCTCTTGCTGATGCCAATGTTGCAGGCACCCCATAGCTCACAGGAGAAAAGCTGCCCAACAGCTGTGCTCCTCCAGTTTTTAAAATTTTCATCAGAATCAGTTCTCAACTTCCCTGAAAAAAGAAAAAAACAAGTAACCTAAGATGTGGGCACTTGGTGGTGTGAAAATATTCAGAATGGACCGGAAAAAGCTGCACAGTCAATGTGTTCTGGCTTTTTCTTTCAGTTTTATTCTCAGGACTTTTCTATCGGTCATATAGTGTGTTATTCTGTTAACTGTTATTCTGTTGGTAGCGGCCTTTTCTCATTTCGATGAGTGTCCCTGCTGTGGCTTCTCCCCTCAGATGTGAAGAATTGGCACTGTGGTGCATGAGTTCCTGTAGAAAACTGAGTTCAGGTCATCAACCGACCTGCCACACTGCACAGTAGTGATAATCAGCTGCTTATGTGATGAAACAGGATGTTAGGGACAGCTACACAACATTTAATAGTTGCACTGATAGCTAATTTCTCATAGCGTTCGTACTTGGTTTTCCAGTTATTGCTATTTAGCTCTAAATACCCTTTGATCTGGAACAGTTAGTAGAAATCTGGGTATTACACTTGGCAGTGATGGTAAAATATCAATTGCTGAAGTCTGTTTGTTAGATGAGTTGAATTTTCTGTTGCACACTTTATATGTCTACAGTGGTTTCTACCAGTCTAATTGCCAATATATATTGTTTTAACAAAAAAAACTAAGTTCACTGGTTCCACTTAAGACAATGACAAAACAAAGGTACAAATGTTTCATTTTGTGAATTACAGTGTCTGCTAAGCATAGTATGTTGTGTCATGTTACATTTCAACACCCTTTATTTTTTTTAGCTCCCCAAAATATATAAAAATGATTATATTTTTTTTTTACATTCAGTGGCAAAACATTAGGATGTCCCAAATCCCCCTCCCAAATAAATTGACTCATTCAAGGGTTGGCATGATTTCAGACTCAGATTTCCATCAGCAATGCCCAGATCTTAATCATATTGCAACCTACTGAAACCTGTGAAGTGTATTAGTGTTGCAGATATTATCTAGTACGTGTCACAACCTCAACTGCAAGACTGTGGGAATACTGTATTTCAATATCTTGTGAAGTATGTGCCAATCCTGTTCAGGTTCAAGTACTTTCCACCTACAGAGAACATTATATAGCTGGAGCTGGAACTCTGTAGTTCAGTGCATGCCTAGTGATTTAAATATGTTGTATAGTAAAACAGTAAACTGTTTTCAGCATTAAGTAAGACGGTAAATGCCAGTACATACCTTCAAATGCAAATCATACAGTACATTTACCTGAATATTGAAAAATATGCTCATTTGTTTAAACTTTATCTTCTTTCATTGGGACATAGACTGCATTGTACTAAAATGAGCACAAATGTAGTTATCAATTCATTGTGGTTCTGTACATAACAGCTGCAATAATGATTAGGTTACTTCACGTATACAGTAATTACTGAAAACACATGCAAACACAAAGCCAAACAGCTCATTAAAAAGCCCACGATAAAACGTTACGGACCTGAAATCTACTGAGTACCAAATAGTAGTTATTTTCAATTTAATTTTTTTAAATCTATATTATTTTTTCTTCTTCCATATTCTTGATTTTCAAAAATTGCTTATAGGAAATAATCTCCTTTTCCATTCTCTCGTTGCCCTTGTGTGCTGTCATCTTGAATGATAAGTGAAATGATGTCATATGCTGGGAAAATGGCTGTAACATGATTCCATGTCTGTTGGGAACCCAGGAAAGCTCATGAACATACCAGTCTCTGTCTTAAGTTTTAGAAATTCAGTAGTAATTATATTGCATTGCCATTGCTCCTCAGTATAAAGCCAACCTGAAGGATTTCTCCGCTTTGCGAATTGTACTGCAACCTCTGGGGCAAAATGTGTTAAAACTGCTTTATTATATTAAAAAAATGATAATTTAAACAAAGGTCTCTACTTTCATTTTAATATCTTTGTGTTTTGTGTTTCTATATGAGAAATGTCTTATTCATGTGACCATTACATAATGGTTATAATAATAATGTAAGGGAGACACTGAATTAGTATTTACATTTCCTTACAACAAAAGAAAGTGAAACCCTTTTTCAAAGTATATGCCCCTAACATTCCCTCTTTGTTCAACAGTATTCTGCGAGGGCACAAGTTCTGCAAGGTGCTCTGAAATGCCTTGTAACTCAACAACAACTTAAATCAACACCCTTAAATTCTTAATTCACAGATGAAATTTCTCACAAACGAAAATAAAGGAATTAGATCAAATGACAGCTTCTGCCACTTGATACCCTGTTGAAATGCCAAGACAGTGCTGGTCAGTACCTGACTTACTATAGAGCTGCACATAAAACCTTGCAGCTTGTTGCATCCATCCATTAGCAGACTATGTCTTCCAAGGTAGGACATCGAAACCATAGATCCCATGCTGTAAGTGTAGGGAACCAGGTAGGGACTGCACCCTGGAAGGGACAACTCATTCCACTTATTCTTTCTTCTTATTTTTCTGAAAGCAAATCCCAGAATTCCTACTTGGAGATTTCATTTCCTCCTTTTAATCTTGTTTCCAGATGCCAACTTGAATTTGAAGATATCAAGCTAAACCTGTAACTGTTTGACATTGGAAAACTCTGTCTAAATTCATTTGAGTCCTTCACCATTTAGAACATGAATGGTGCAGGCTGGTCATTGTCTAGACCAGGTGTTCACAGCCCTGGTCCTGAAAGATCACTGGGTCTGCTGTTTTTTTCTCCAGACAAATTTTTAATCGCAGGATATTTGATTTCACTTGTGGCATCTGTGGTAACAGCTCTTAAAAGCTCAGATGGGAATTGTAATTGGTGTCAATCCTGTAATAATTTCTTATTTTCAGAACCGCCCTCAATCGGGAGTGTTGCCTGAATTGAAAGCAGCCGGATAACAGTTACAATAACGAGGACAGACAATGAAATGTGGGCATTTCGAAGTCGCAAATGTGAGATAAAACGTCACAATTGCAAGATATTAAGTTGCAATTCTGAGATTTAAGTCGCAATTCTGAGATACAAAGTCGGAATTGTGAGATACCATCGCGCATTGTTTTTTACTCCCTGGCAGAAACGGGCTTCCATACATAATAGAGCAAATTCAAACAAAGCCATATTTCAAATTTCCTCTAAACTGGATACTGTATGACTGCATAAATTGAGTATTAATACTTACTAAATTATTATAATTATTTTTGGTAGGCACCCTTATGCAGACTGCTTTCCATATTCTGTAGAGAACAGTTGATTGCCCCTCTCCAGGGGCAATGAGTATTCATTCTCTTCCTGTAGACTAGGGTATCCCATGTAAATGTGGGATACAGAAGACCATATAGGAGAGATCTCCTCTAAGTGCTGATGCTTTGTTTGGAGCCTCAACAAAGGTCCCCATCTCCTTGAGATTTGAATGCCTTGTCTCACCTCTGTGCAGGCATCCCGATCTCCTCGAGGTCTCAACACCTTGTCTCACCTCAATACAGGCATACCGATCTCAAAATCTCAAAGCCTTGTCTCAGCTCAATGCAGGCACCCCCCTCAAATCAAATGAATGAACTATGCAGTAAAATGTATAACTCTGTATGAACGGTTGTGTGTAACATTCCTGGTGCATGCTACTTCACTCAACATGTGACAGCAGCTCTATCATCATTTATCATTATCATATCACCATGTACTGTATCATCAATAGCTATATCATCTTCGTATCTGTATCTGTAAGATAGGTTAATGAGCCCCAAAATATTGCACTTAATAACAGCTCCCATAACTGTCATTTATGCATGATGGTATCTGAAGTGGGATATGTATATATCTCACTTATCCAGCATCAAAGTATCACCACTTAAGCACATTGTGAGAGGTGTTGATGGGGTCTGTTAATTTAGCCTCAAACAAAAGTTACACTAAGGTGCCATAAAGCTGACTTGCTTTAGCAGCCCCAGTGGCTTAACGCTACATAATAAAAGACAGGAACAACACCCACAAACAGGATAAAGCAGACCAATGTCTGCTGCATATCAAAGGACAGAACCTAGAGCAAGGCAGAGCAGGACAAGCAATAATTACATATCAAAGAACAGGACAAGCACTCAGATTGTGAAACAAACTTTCTTCTGACTGTATATAAGAGCTGGGAAACCCTTGCAGTTTGTCTGTTCTGTGGAGCAGACCCAGCGCGCGTTGTCGGAGTTGTTGAGCTCAATAAAACTGAATCTGCAAAAGACTGTGTCCTGCTCTGATGTCTGATGAAAAATTTCCCACAACAGTATCTCAGGTGTTTTTTTTTCCATTACGTCATTCATTTAAATACCATTCACGCCATCCCCTCCGAACTTGTTTGCCCTTTCACACTGTTCAGCACAAATAAAAATGGGTCTACCAGATTCGTGCTCTAAACTAGAGGGAAGTGCAGTAACCTTAAGGTTCAAGTAATTGCATAATTTACATTAGATATGCTGAGATTTCTAACGTATAGTATTAGATAAATACAATGTTTTTCTTAAAACAATGGACTATAGATTTTGTTAGCTCTTAAATATGGCTTTGTCTGTTCAAGCATACAAACATGTTAGTGAAACTGTACACTACCCTGGAGAAGAATGAATTATGTGTTTTTCCAGGTCAGCCTCTCTGTACATGCTGTTACCAAACTTCTGAACAGGATTTAACCGAGACAAACTGGTTGCCGGGCAGTAGTATCCCATAGGAGGCAGGTCTGCACAGACCATTTATAATTTCCTTCTTAAGCCAAAGTTCTGTTCCCTTAGTCCCAGAAATACAGACTAATCGGAGTTCTACCACACAAAGCAGAAGAAAGGCACAAAGCAAGAAAAAATGTTTTTTTAGTCTTATAACAGCAAAACAGTTGTTAAGAATGCAGTAAATGATAAACAATGTGAAAGTTTGAGATGATTAAATCAAAATAGCTAATATTTCACACAAGAAAAGAGTACGTTCCTGCTTACTGGAAATTGGGGTCACTATCTGTGATACTTGTGGTGACATTGGTAACACAAGACCTTGGCCAGGCTGTGTGTGAATGATAAAAGGTCCTGGAAAAAGACTGGATTTAGAGTATGGTTTTACTGTGCTCTACAGAAGGACCTGTCCACTACATTCCATTTCATGTCCATGTTAGTGGGGCCAGTAGGGGGTGCTAACCCTGCACTCTGTGTGGGCCCTAATGCCCCAGTATAGTGACAGGGAGTCATTAAAAATCCTCTCTGTGGTCATTAAAAATCCCAGAGTGTTTCTCAAAAGAAGAAGGGGTGTTACCCCAGCGGCCTGGCCAAATTTCCCGCTGGCCTTTACCAATCATGGCCTCCTATGAACCAGCTTCATCACTCTGTTCTCCTCTCCACTGAGAGCAGGTGTGTGAGAGTACTGGTGCACTATGGCTGCCGTCGCATCATCTAGGTAGGGGCTACACATTGGTGGGGGAGGAGAGTCCTCATTACCTGTAAAGCGCTTTGAGTGTAAGTATAAGGAATTTTAGTTATTATTAATAATAGTAGTAGGAGGAGGAGGAAGTGGGGTAGTAGTAGAAATAGTTCTACTACTACTACTACTAGCTCATTTCAAAACCTCTCTAAGCTAGGCCCTGGGTTCTATTCCTGGGGTGCCATCTGTGTGGAGTTTGTATGTTCTCCCAGTGTTTGCATGAGCTTCCTCCCACAGTCTAGAGACATACTGAAAGGTTAATTTGCAGGAAACGTTGCACGTTTGTGTTTGTGTCTGTGTCTGTGATTTTGTGTAGTCAACGATGGACTGGCAGTCTGTCAAGGGCATATTCCGTTTTCCACCTGCTGCTTGGAAGTGCTCCAGACCACAAGTCGTAAAATAGTGTTTCCTGTCTCGAAATTTGGTCGCAAATCTTTTTAATGAAGGAATGAAAGAATTTTATACAGGATAAAAGTTTATTGCTCATTAATACTGGATAGTTACTTGCATGACATAGTTCTTAGAAAGAAGGATTAGAATATAATAATACCTGGTGCAAAACTAAGAAGGAATCGTGCAGACACAGTAAGGAACAAATAAAATGAGCAGCACCAATACAAGTCCCGTGCAAACAAAACGAAACTGAACAGAAACTATGGGCTGACAGTGGAAATGCAGAGCAACAATGTAATCAGATGGGCAAATCTCTTCCAGTTTAAAACGTGGGATGATACCGTTAAAATAACTTTTTAAAATAAAAAAATAACATTAAGTGTTATTACATACAACATAAGCGACCATTGGCTCCGTGATATAATTATGATCATCGACATGTTCGTATTGTTATTCTTAAATCCAGTAATTATAGGGAAGTAAAGCACACTGAATATTTAATTAAATAATTAAATTAAATGATGTAAATTCCTGTGGATTTTGTCTGTTATTACACAGCTGTAATACAAATTCATGTGAAATAAAAAAGTGATTTTGTCCCTAAAGGTAAAACTTTTGTATTTTACGTAAAAGTATCTCGTGTTTAAAATTACTCCAGGTATTTTCACAAGAGAGGGCGGTGCTTTCAAACTCAGGTGAATTGAGACCTGAATGTATGCGATAGGAGGCATAACTGACAAGGTAATATTCGCACTAGCTACAGTTTCTGTGTTGTTGTCCCTAGTTCCATTCTGATCATAGCCCAGAAGAGAGCTGTAGGTTTATTTAGACCTCGCTGTTTATCCTGTGTACAAGTGTTTGAGCTTATGTGCCAGTACGTAATGAAAACGACGGTTCGGAAAGCTTTCTTTTTAACACTGATTATGTCTTTGATATGTTTGATCCTCTATGGCTTCGTTTTCGATGTTAAGAAGATTTACGACATTCGGTAAGTTTTAAACACCTGTTTCTTAAAGGAATTGAAGTGAATAACAGTGGAGCTTCTTAAGGAGAAAGTGGTGTACAAGTGGGAACTGAAGGAGTGGTTCAGAAAATCTGTCCCCCCGATTAGAAATTAAAGAAAAAAATTAGGAACAACTCACCTATAACATTCCCAGTTCGGTTCCCTGCCAAAGATGAGCTATCTGCGAGAGGTCTTGTCCGAAACTGGTTATTGTTCAACATGAGTATATACTGTTGGCTACAGCCTTATACAATGACACTGGGTGTACCTGAGCTCTGAATTTATCGTTTCCACAATTTATGGCTTTGGGTATTATTATAACCATATGCTTTGCTATTGCTGGTAGCGTGCAGAGTACCCCATATAAAATATCTGGTTTTGTAAGACTCAAATGAGATTTAACTCAAAACGACGGTTTGATTCTCAAAGAGATAAGTGTTTACTTTGATAAATCTCTGTCATCTTTTGGACAATGCAGGAAGCAATACAGAGACAATGTCAGAGGTCTGGTAAAATCTCATTTAGAATATTGTGTACGATTTTAATCTGGAGTCAGTTTAGAGAGAAATGCGCTTCCGAGTGTAAAGGTATATATTGGTCTCACAGTGTGGATAAGATGCTTGAAACAATTAATTTACCTCCTACCTACTGGCTAGTTGGGATAAAAGACAGCGTTTGTAACATTTTCTATTTATGTAGTTCTATATTTTGAAGAAAGCGCTTCTTTGGTAAAAAAAAATGTCAATCAAAAAGTACCAAGTACCGTGCCAAAAGGTGGTAATTCAGTATGGATTTTATTTCGCGAGGCTGAGTTTTAAATCATATTGTAAAAACTAAATATGCAAGATAAACTTTTAAAGGGGGGGGGTGTGTCCGGAATATCTAAATAAAACTTACACCTGCCAGAAAATTGTCGCACGACCAGGCAACCTCGGCAACAAAATGCCTTTAGATAGTTTGTCAGTAAACTCCTTAAACAATGATTGCAGTTGTCGGTGTCGTATCAAATTCAGTATTCCCTGGAAATCTGTATCCCACTCCTGAGCAATTATCTCATGATTTTTCTCATCAGGCCCATACTGTATAAAATGATGTATACTGTATGTACTGTAACACACAGGACAAAAGATGCACATTACCTTTGTATGCTTCTTTTGTGTTCCTCTGTCTTGAGTAAAAAGTACGGTTCGCATCAAATAAAGCGATATAAAACACACACAAACAACGGGCTCCTTTTTATTCATATTGTAATGACCCATATCCTGTCCGTGCACGCAGGAAGAGGAGATGCCTATATCATTCATTATCCTGGAAAGGTTGGTGGAGAGCGTGCGCTTTACCGAGGGGGTGACTATGAGGATACAGATTCCCAGGGGATACTGAAGTGGATACGACATGTGGACAGCAAAGCCTTGTTTAATGTGTAAATCATGGCTCTGATGACAGGAAACTAAAACAAAGGAAAATAACCAGTCATGTGCACAGAGTTTTTATCTGATTGTGATTTATCTTGAAAACTTGATGTTGTGATTCAAAGTGATGCTCCTTTATGGAGTTGACATTGCAAGTATGAATTCAAGTGAAATTTGAACCTTGTACTTTGAGGGCACTTTTTCACAATAAGCTAGAAGGAAACAACACACAGGGATGTTATTAAGAAAATGTAGTGTATATATACATGTATGTATAGTACTGTATATTTACTTTTTAACTAACATTATGTCAGATTAAGTTATATTTAATGGATTAATGACAATACAATAAAAACACATCATAATTGTTTCCCACACCTTCAGCAAAGGTGATATATGGTCGCGATTTTTGTTTGTGGAAGATACACTCATTTTGCCGCCACTGAAGAGAGATGATTTTAAATTCATGCCCCACTCGGATTATGACAACTTGTATCTCCACGATCCCCATCACAGACAGACGGTAAGAAACTTGCTTCCTATGTGTCTTGAAACAGCCTGCAACTTTGGGAGTCAAGTAGACTCTTTCTCTCAAAATAGAATTTGTTTTCAGGCCCCCATTTTATGTTTAGCCATTGTGAGTCAAATGTAACTTTCACAGTCTTGAGATTTTGTATTTAATAAACCTCTGAATTATGTTTCAACTGTTATTCATACCCTGGGATATGTTTCAACTGAGCTATTTCCTCAGACTCCATATTGTACTTATCCACCACAGAGCACAACCAGTAGTAATCACTTAGAATGCACACAGTGATAGAATATCCCACAAGACATGCACTATAGTCAGGCAGCTAGAAGGAAAGGGACAGACAGTGAGGACAGGATGATGAGTACAATAGTACAACAAAAGAAAATGCAACTGAGCATTTCATGACTATTTAGTGTAATTCCTAACAATTGCATGTATGCCAACTGTTGATTCCTTCCCATGATGTGCAGAGATTGGTTGATGCTCAGCTGACTAAAGGTGAGCACCTGCTAGGAGTGGGTAGATACACTCATCGTCAAACATTTTAAAAGGTGGCCATGCCCCCCTTTTCTAGGGGCTATTTCCCCTGGGCCTTTCCCATGTCATAGGCCGACGTCCTTTGGTACTCGTGTGCATTTGAAAATGGTCTTTGAGGTGTGAGCCTGAAGGTCACCAGGGCTGGAGATGTCCCTAAAGAAGGTGTAAGGAGTCAGGGAGCTCCAGCGACATGCAGGGCCTGAGCACAAGCAGCTCAGGGGGGAAACCTAGTTTGAGTGGGTAAAGGGTCAGAATAGCTCACAGGTTTGAATCTCACCTCTGGCGTCTTAAGCACCAGAGAAGTGTTTCAAACACAAGAGACAAAGCAGTTCGGGAAAACCAAGTGTGGTTGGGAAAAATAAAGGTGTCCGAAAGCCTAGAAGTTTTGAATCTCACCTTCAGCGTCTCAGGCACTAGTGAGGAGTATCAGACAGTTTAGGAAAATATATGAAGTGGTGTGTACTCTAAAATGAGGCGTGATATGTAGGGGAGAGACTGCGTTCAAAATTTGAATGGAATTTTTAACTGAATTTAATTAAATTGAAACCATTCATGCACAGGGTATGGATCCATTTCAAAACATACAATGGGGTGTAGAGGTAAAGAACGCTCTCAAGACAAGAGAAATAAAATTTGTTTTATTTTATTTGTAACATTTCAGAGACAGATTACACAATTCCTAAACCCACACAGGTTACAAAGTACTTATAGAAATAAAGCTCTAAACACTCCAGAGCTCAGCCTTTAAATGTTGGCAAAGAAAATGAGCTTGATAGATGTAGCTATTATTCCCACACCAGGTAACAATTCCACAGTGTCCCGCAAAGCATTCATAACGCCATTTCGCTCACCAGCTCTATAACCGTCAACACAGAGCTGAGCGATTCTGTCTAGCAGCCTAAATTAATTTGCTTGAGTAATCAGGGGTATGATATTGCTGCAGGTTTTATGCAAAAAACATTGTATTCTGGAATAGATTCCGGCACTAGCGCTAACTATGTTTTACTTTCTGATATGAATAGAGCAGATCTGTAATGATAACATTCATGCTCTTTACATACTTCTCAATGTCTTTTACACATTTGAGCACATCTGCATTCTTTTCTTTTATAACTTCAATTCTAGTTTTATGAAAAGAAGTGTGTAAAACACTCTTTCTATAAATTCCTTTGGATATATGCCGAATTCTTCATCTCTGGGTTTGTTTGGTTTGAATCTGTGAAAAAAAGAATGAAATGGATAGTGATAATTATGAGGTAACATTCTCATTTTCTACATGTATTTTAAAAAAACTTGTAATGTTTCTTTTTTACAATGTCAAAAGTTGTGTCAAGTATTTTGAAGTCCATAGGCAGTGAGTGTGTGTAGTGGTGGGGAATGGGATCATCTTTAATAATTTTCATCAGTTGAAAACGTGAACCAAATCTTTAAATAGCAGGGAATTTAGGGGGAAAGCCAGCATTCTGCAGGTTATGTAGGGGGTGTGTGGTGTAAATATTGTGCAAAATGTTAAGTGACATTAATTAAACGATTCAGGGATCCTAAGTCCTGTTTTATAACTGGGCTGACTTTGCTTGGGAGCTCAGTGAAGAAAACTAGGGTTTGAAAAAATCACTGTTCTTATTGTGTTTCAGACCTGCCCAGAGTCTGTCATGTTATCTAAAGATCCTGAATTTAAGAAGGCTTTCATTCCCAACATTCAAATCTTCATGCACAAGGAGCACTTCAGCATAAAGGAATGGAACCGGCTGATACATTTCAATAACCCCTTTGGCTATATGGATGCTAACTACACTGGTGAGTAAACATACACAGCCCATGCCAGGAGGACACTCCAGACCAAATTTGGCAGTTTAATTCTTTATCTTTTTAGGAGTGCTTGGATGGTTTCTGTCATGTGTTCTTTTTGATGTTTTGCCAACTACTCACGTCAGTGCTTATTCAGGAAAATGTCCTCTGACTCAGCAGATGATACCACATTGCTCAGCTGATCTTTTGATCGCACAGAACTTTTCAACATAATATAAATGAGCAAAAACACAAGAGAATTCTGGGTCAAATATCACCGATCATTCTTTGATGCTCCCTGCAGTACTTCGGGAGGCTGTGCAACTGATCCCAAAACTCCAAAACTATCAGCTTCTGCCTGTTCCCAAAACTGACAAAGAGGGATGTATCCGCTGTGCCGTTGTTGCAAGTGGAGGGATTTTGAACGGTTCCCGGAAGGGGAAAGAAATTGATGACCATGACTACGTATTTCGGTAAGATGTTCCGTGTGATGAGCAATCCTTCAACACAATATTGTCAGTGCAGTCAAAGAGGCCTTTTAGAGCTAAAGCCAGAACTAAAACACTCCACCCATCCATTTTCCAACGGCTTTATCCAATACAAGGTCGCTGGGGAGCTGGTGCCTATCCCAGCAAGCAAAAGGCACAAAGCAGGGTACACTGTGGACAGGAATGCAAGTCCATTGCAGGGCACACACAGACACAAACATACACACACTCACACCAGAGCCAGTTTTCCCAGAAGCCAATTAGCCGCCAGTATGTCTCTGGACAGTGGGAGGAAACTGGAGCACCCAGAGAAAACCCACACAAATGCAGGGAGAACATGCAGACTCCACACAGGAACTGAACCCAGGGCCCCAGAGCCCTAGCGCATGGCAGCAATGCTAACCACTGTGCCACTGTGCCACCTAATGTGCACCTCTTTCAAATTCAAATCAACAGTAAAACAACATTTTACACACAATTTGTCTTTCCTATAGTTTATATATATATTGTCTCTTTCTACAGTATAACTATTTAAATTGTTGGATGGTGGTGTTGGGGTGGGGGCAGACTGGAGGCTTGCATTACATTGAGGCAGTAAGCTCTGACTTCTGTCCTTTTTGTTTCAGTGTAACAGCATTTTATATACAGAGTCTTTAGTTTTCACTGTTTTACTAAATTGTTTGTGGACGGGTCTTTGTGAGGTGAAAATAGGCATACAATCTCTTGCACAGACAGATGGCAGATAGTATTATATTCATTCTCCTAATAAACCAAGGTCTTTTCGTTATGCAAGGATTCAAATAAAAAAAAGCCTCTGTATTTTTGTTACAAAACTGTTTAAACGTTTAAAGTTTAAAACAAAATATGTGTGACTGAAAATTGGGAACATAATAATGTAAATCTTGTCTAGGATTAAATCCATGTAAATCCATGTGTAGGATTATTTGAGTTAAATGTGGGTTTTTGGATGCATTTAGAGTCAGAATTTCCTATGTTAATTTTTTGCATTCTATACAGGCTCTGTCTTTTGCTACATATGAAATGTTTATTGTTTTTTTTAGTCTAGAAAAGATGTAAAAAAGCAATACTAGATCTAGAAACATATATGAAGATCATTTTAGACCAATGCAGTTCCATGGATTTCAAAAATTAAAATCTAACATCAGGAAGAAGAAATAGGAAAAAAGCATAAATGTAAATAATGTTATGCTTGTACAGTCATGGATATTTAAACTAGGAAACGTAGTACAAAACTGTACGAAAAGCTACAAATAGGGTCATTTAGCTCACCCTTTTTTGTGTAAAAAAATGCCTTCCTTTTCTTTAAAAAAACCTCTTGTCTGTAGTTCCAAACTACAAACCAAAACGTACTTCTTTTGGATATTGTTTCACTGTTTATTCTGGAGAAATACTACAGTGTATGTCTTTGTTTTTCTCATGTACAATTCCCTCTCGAGATCTATGTGTACACATTTACTGGATTATTCGCATAATGTTTAAAATTGTTTTTGGAATTTTGTAACATTTTCAGTAAAGATGAACAATAAAGAAGAACAAAGAAAAGCAGTTAAAATCACAGAAAGAATGAAATAAACTCCACGATAACTCCAGGAAGAGAACGCGCTGGTTAGGTTTCTCCGTTTTAAAGCTCAGTTCAGAAAATCAGATTTCTTTACAGGTGACGTTAGTTTTAGAAAATGTTTAATTGCGAGTACACTAACTTTTTACATTTACACTGCTTTAAACATGAACAGAAATGACTTAATTAAAAAGGAATATATGAATTGTTGGCAATTAAGTCGTCTGATTAGTAAATAGGCTCTGATATAATTTTTTAGTAGCCATTGGCAACTAGCAACTCCCGCATGGAGGTTTTAATGACAAACCATAGTTGCTAATTAATAATAGATATTAAATTAATAATTTTATATAATGATTTAATGACAAAGAGATTTTTCTGCAGAATGAACCTTGCCGTTACCAAAGGCTACGAAGAGGACGTGGGACGCAAAACGTCGGTCTACGTCCACAGTGCCCACGCCTTGACTACTGCAGAATACTTCTTCGGCGCAAACGGCATCCCTCATGATGAGGCAAGTTACGACAAGTTACTCTGTAACAGAGCGTTGGCCATGTGTTGTTTAGGATCTGCAGTCCAGTCGCTTGATTTAGATGTGCTTTTATTTTTCAGATTCAGGGCATAATCGAAAGACGCTCGCTGAAACAGCGCAAACCAGCGCTGAAAGTCTCAGATCAAAACGTCCAACAGCGCTGCTGCAGTTGTGTTACATTATACTTCATTAGCTATAACATACAGTATATATTGCAACGTCTAGTATATATTGTTTGATACCACGTTAAAGCAGTAGGTTAGTAGTTATTTATTTTGTTTTAGAGCAGTAGCTCTTAAACTGTTGCCTCTCACACAGTAGTAAACGGTTGAAAACGAGTTCGGATTTAGTCAGGGTGGAATGGTACTACTGTTTGATACTAAGCGTTTACACATATAACGGCACTTGAACATTTCTCCTATTCATCTTAGAATTATTTTCCATGTAGTTTCAATAGTAGACATTTTTTGGAATAACATTTCACAGCTTCTCTTCATCTGCCGTCTTTCAGAGTCGACAAACGTGAAACGGCTAATTGCTTTCCTGCCACAAATCGTTCGAATGAGTATTTGTTCCTGTGAAAGACAAAGGCATTATGTTAACTAAAAGTATCATTATTAATAATTGTATATTGCTACATGATCTGTGGCTTACTGAAAACACAAAACGTCCTTCCATCAATTTTCATCAAATGCCTCATCCAATTGAGGGTATCAGGGGAGCTGGAGCCTATCCCAGCTGGCAATGGGCACAAGTCAGGATACAACCTGGATGGGACACCAATTCATCGCAGGACACACAGACACAAACACATACACACTCACACAAGGGCCAATTTCCCCAGAAGCCAGATAACTTACAGTACATTATGTCTTTGGAGTGGGTGAGGAATCCCATGTGAACACAGGGAGAACATACAAACTCCATGCAGATACCACCCCAGGTCTGGAATTGAGATAATACAAAGACCACATCTTCTGAAAATATAGACAATTAAAACCTTGTTATAAATATTACTATTACTTCCTGTGGATCTCAATGATAAGAAAACATGAACTTGATTTTAACTAAATTAACTGCATTAGTGAAGGCATTGGATGATGCTCCAATATGCTTTGATAATGTTTAGAACCCTTTTGTTCCACAGCTCCACGTCTTTTGGAAACTAGCATCCTTTAGATTATCATTTATGTTGGTGTATCGCATAATGACAGTTCCCTTCCTTCTTCAAGGGCATCAGGTACGTCATGATCCCGGAAGGCATGCGTGATTTTCAGTGGCTCACAGGCCTGTTGAAGAACTCCACTGTTGCCACTGGACCTTATAAGGGATTCAGGTAGGACAAAAATTTACAAACCACTCTGACATTATTACTCATTAAAAATGAGTTGTGTTTTTGTATCCTCAACGCTAAAATAAACATTCAAGTCTACAGTCCGTGTGATTAAGTTAAAGGATAAATTAGGGAAAGAAAAGGCAGGAAGGACAAGGCATAAATAAAAAAAACGTTTCAAACATATTTACTGAGTAAGAAAAGGCTGCAAGATTTTGCTGTTAAAGCGGATGGGTTGCAGAATGAGAGTCATTCAGTGTCGATTTAACTGAAAATCACGTCAGCTTATTAAATTACAAGAATTCAAGACGTGGACCTAAGGAACAAATTAATGACCTGCAGTACAAAACAGAACCAGCTAAACAGGAAAGAACAGTAAGCACACCCACGGGTTAGCTTGTGTGCGTGACGCAGGGTTTTTCAGTGCAATGTACAGTATGATATACAGTACAATATGTGAAGCAGCAAAGTTTTTCTGTAGAGAGCCTGGGATTGCAGGCTCTGCAATGAAATATGTAAACATGTTCTGCCCTTATGTTCAAGTCCATTAAACCAAAGCCTTGAGAGGTTGGGAACTGAGTAACCTCAAGGGCTACACTGAGTAATATTTGCATTATTGCAACAAACACACATACTACAAGCGTTATCATCTGTGTCTTGGTTTTCCAGGCCCTGGAAGCTTTATAGTGGACAGTTTGATCCAAGAAGATTCTTTGTGCTTCACCCTGATTTCCTCCGATACGTCCGGAACAGGTAAGAACACGAGAGAGGACATGGTGCACTCATTAAACATGGTTTAATGACCCACAGACCTCCAGTTTTACCGAAAACTCTTATTTCGGCCTTTTCTTCATCCTGGCATTTTCTCCGTGTACCGAAAACTCCCTAGCATAAATGTAGTGTATGTCTGAACTCAGAGAGCCTACATCTCATGGCACAAAGTTCACAAAAAAAGTTAATGAAAAGACCAATCATCTGAAAAGGGAGTGTTACCACAGCAGGCTAGGGACTCACTTTTAACACATGTGGAATCTTACAATCCTTTAAATGTCTTTTCCTGTTTCTAACCAATTAGTTTTTCACCAGGTCACCTTTATATTCTGCATCTGCAGCATTTTAGCAGATGTGGTCAGACCTCCAATTCATACCAAAGTCCGACATAATTGTTGTTGTGTTACACAAAGGGAACTCTTACACAAGGAGATGCTTTTTGGGTTGACTTCATTGGTCCTTTACAAAGTTTAATATCCAGGTACCTCAGTCACCATTCCTGCAGATCATTGTATGTTTCAGAGAGAGATTCAGCTTCTCTGATTGGAACCCAGCTTTCAGTACTGTCTGTCTCATTTTTGAGCTCTTTCTTGAACAAATGTATCCCTTTTGTGCTGTGGCTGATCAAAGTCTGTCATTGTAAATTCTACAGAATGAATAACCATTTTAGGTTGTGTACAGATGAGCTTACTTGTTAAATATTTAGCCTCTTTACCTGTCTGATGAGATTAGTAGCACAAATCTTAAATTCACTCCTCACAAGCATGAATTGATCATTATTGATCTTTTTTTGTATTATTGCACATTATTGATATGATACCACCACTAATCACTAATAATATATCACTAATAATAGTAATATGCTATTACTAATATGGCCAAAATACTTATTTTGTCCTTATTTGTTTTGCCTTCTTTCAGTTGTCTATGGAAAGTAGGTGGATATTCGTTTTTGAAAATCTGTAATTTATAAAACTGTGTCATTATCTGCTGACTCAATAAATGCATGTCCCATTCTGCTGTTTCAGAATATTAATGCTTCATTACACATACAGTAACTGTATGTATACATTAGTTTGTAGTGATAAAAGTAGACTTCAAATCAAATCAAATCAAAGTTTATTTATCAAATGCACAACAGTGTGCAGCAGTAGTTGCTGGGAATGAAATGTCTTTTCTGCGAGTTCACAGAATCACAAAAATCACAAAATTAAGGTTACATAATAATAGATAATAATGTAATAGAAATTGAATAAAACTCAATATGAATAGAGTTGCTATGTGTCCACGGTGTATGCAATATATACAAGTAGTGCAGTATGCTGAATACAATGAAAACTGTATGTCCATGTAGCCATTACAGGTGATTTGCTGAAGGAACTGCAGGTTGGCTATTTAGCAGTCTTATTGCCTGGAGGTAGAAGCTGTTCCGTAATCTGTTGGATTTTGACCGAATGCTTCTGTACCGTTTACCGGACGGTAGGAGAGAAAACAGTTTGTGACTGGGATGACTGGGGTCCTTGAGAATAGACCTGGCCTTCTTAAGACATCTGGCTGAGTAGATATCCTGGATGTTTGGCAGCTCACAGCCGGTAATGAGCTGCGCTGACTTCACCACACTCTGCAGTACTTTGCGATCCCGGACAGAGCAGTTCCCATACCAGGCAGTGATGCAACCAGTCAGGATGTTCTCAATAGTGCACCTGTAGAAGTCGCCCTGGATATGTGTTGGCATGCCAAATGTCTTTAGCCTACGGAGAAAGAATAAGCGCTGCCGTGCTGTTTTGACCACGGTGTTGGTGTGGTGGGTCCAGGTTAAGTCCTCTGAGATGTTAACGCCCAGGAACTTAAAACTACTGACCTCACCTGCAGTCCCATTGATATAGATAGGTGTGTGTTCCTATAGTCCACAATCATCTCCTTAGTCTTACTGATGTTCAGAGAGAGGTTGTTCTCCTGGCACCATGCTGCCAGGGTTTCAACTATGCAGACTCCTCACCATCTGTGATCAGGCCAATGACTGTTGTATCGTCCGCAAACGTAATGATGGAGTTTGAGTTATGCCTGGTGACACAACCATGGGTAAATAAGGAGTAGAGGACAGGGGTAAGCACACAGCCTCGGGGGGCTCCAGTGTTTAAAGTTAGGGTAGAGGATATGTTGGTACCCACCCTCACCACCTGCGGACGTTTCGTCAAGAAGTCCAGGATCCAATTACAGAGGGAGGTGTTCATTCCCAGGTCCTGGAGCTTGATGACAAGCTTTAAGGGCACTATGATATTGAATGCTGAGCTGTAATCAACAAAGAGCATTCTCACATATGTTCCTTTTATATTAAACTTTGTGTTTCAATTGGAATAGGTGTGCGATATGAATATATACATAGTGATATTTTATATAATGTTTTAAGAATGGAGTTTGTAGAATGGATTTTCCTTCCTATCTGTGAAAGAAAATATATAATTGTGTTAATTTCCATTTATATTATATGGATGTAAAATATACATTCTCTGATAACAACCCAATGAATATATTGAAAAGGATCATAAAACACAAATGAAATGTCACATAATTCTGTTTATTGCTATCCAGGTTCCTCAGGGCCAGCCAACTTAACACTGAAGACTGGCAGATCTACCGGCCAACCAATGGGGCATTCACCATGATTTTGGCACTTCACACCTGTGATGTTGTGAGTAACTTGCACTTGATATTTACACTTCTGCACTGTTGTCCTCCTGTTTTAGAAATAATCTGCAAACGTGTTTACTAAATATATTAGACTCTAGATCATTGATTGAATTACCTTAATTATTATCACAGCAGACAAGGAACAAAGGCCATACATTTTGTATTTATATTAAAAGAATTGTCTCAGACGATCATGAACACAGTACAGTACAGTTTCTGATTGCAATCTGTCTCGCTTTCAGGTGGATGCCTATGGGTTCATCACAGCAGACCATGCAAAGTATCCCAATTACTACTTTGACAAGAAAAAAACTGAAGTTATTTTTTACCTCAATCATGACTATGATTTGGAAATCAGAACATGGAAAAAACTGCATGATGCCAAAATTGTGAATCTTTACCAGAGGACAGAAGATGCACGGTAATTCACAAGAACAATAGGCTTAACAGTGCAATGGAGAAACCACTATTTATCCTTCCTCATTATGAATGTATCCCCATTTCATTTCAATATGTACTGCATGTTATATATTTAGCCTTAGCATTTGATGCTTATCATCCCCTCCACCTCACTTTCACACAACCCCTTGTAACAGGACAGCTGTGTTTTTATTAGTTGTAGTGCCTGGGAAATGGTTTTAGGTTTGTGAAGGTTTGACATCATGATTAGACAGTTTGTGCTCCTGGTTGCTTTGTGGTTATCAGCAGTCTCTCGGTTGTGAAGGTTATATGGGATAGGTGATGTGTATGCTAAGGCTAATTTGAAGGGCGAAGCATGGGTGGCTCTCTTGAGGGATAAGACTCCCCTCCACCACCACCACCAATGTCTACACAGCTGTTGGCTGCAATCACCTGTGATGCGGTAGGTCTGGACAAGGGATCGGCTGTGGGCTGCAAAAACTTGTGAGTGTGTGAGGAACAAAGGTGGTAAAAGACAGCAGCTTGGAGGAGACCAAAGTGGGGCTTAAAGAGTGGAGGGTGTTACCTGTCTGTTCCTGGATCTCTGACAGGGTGTGCTGGACATAGACTGGCTGGATGCGAGAGAGAACACACTTCAGAGGTTATGAGCTAGCTGTGAAGGGCAAGCAAGAAAAGAAAGAATAGAAAAAGAAGAGAACTGAGTGGATTTAACTATGGGAGTGATTCACAGATCATGTACAGACAGGCCTGTAATGAGCTCACCCACTGGGGTGTGGCCTGGCTTTGTTTCAGTAAAGTAGTAACAGACATGATTGCTGCTGTGTTAGGGAAACAAGGATGGGTTATATTTAGGGTCCATGGACAGAAAGGACAAGTTGAGCTACTGCTGGCGAAAATTATTTATGGTTAAGGTTGAACAATGCCTTAAGAATGAGGGAGAGACAGGGTTTGGGTCCAGAAGGGGATGTTGGCCATCCTGGGGGAGATTTGGGTTGTTGTCTGAATATGGAAGGGAGACTGCTCCTACATGGCATAATTCTGCTGTATGTCACTAGATAGCTGTGAGTGGTTCCTTGAGCGTAAGTCTGCTGGTTGGGTGTTGGGGAATCCTGCAGTGGGTTAACCCTCAGAAGGCATTGAGGTGGTAGTCTGGGACCACTCCTCATGATCGGTCGCCTGGGGAAAAGAAGCCCCATCACAGTGTGAAACTGAGAATTTCCCGGGATGTAAAACAAGGTTATCAATAATCCTGGAGGAGGTTATGTAATAGAGAAAACTGATGCTGTGGTTTAAGATTGCATAGAGAGAATGGGCTAATGGTTATAGCTTATGGTTTACATGTGATGGTTTATTGACTTAGCATAAAGTCTTGGTTTGCTTGCAAACTGGCTTATGGTTAAAAGTTACAGTTATGGTTCATAAAATCCAGTTGCAGGTCAGCTAAAACGCCACCAATCAGATTTGTGTAGTTGGAAACCAGAGGCTGAGGGCTGTGCCTAAGGTTGGTATGGCTCTCACACCAGTGACAAACGAGGACTCAGATCCGAAACACGTGGTCTTTTATCCGAATTTTTACTTTTTCTCCTGTTTTCTGCAGTTCCTCCTGTCTCCTTATATTCATTCTCCTTCCACGGTCTCTTGCTTCCTGTGTTCATTGTTTTCCCCTTAATCCCTGTGGTGGAACCATGCACTTAGAAATATTAACACTACACCTCTGCCCCCTCCAGTCTCTCCTGTCTAGGCTTTGCCTTGGGATCATTGAATAATTTAGCATTTTTTTTATTTTTATTATATTGCTTTTGTTAAACTCAAAAGTATAGTTACTGTAATTACAATTCCTAGTATCTGAATAATTTTATTCAGTGATCTTACCATTGAATTCTCTAAAATTATTAAGTTTTGTTTAGTTTTGATTTCTTTAGTTTGTGTGTTTCACACATTAATATTTTATATTTTACATATTTATGTTTGAATGGAAATGATTGTGCCAACTAAATTATTATTACTACCTGTGATATATTCTATATGTTTCATTCCATTTTGTCAGCTTGTATGGATATGATTCTTACTGTATTTTTTGTACAAGGTCATGTAATGTATTGTATGTACATGTATTGTAAATTGCCCTGAATGAGGGTATTTGTGAATAAAATAATATGGTTAATATTACCAGCACTTTTATTTCATGTCCTTCCTCCTGCCTGCTCTTAAAGATGTTTTGTGTCAGTGCACCTGTTCATGCCTGAGTGGTGTGAGTATGGGAAGCAAATATCTTGTGAGAATACAGAGTCACTTGGTGTTTAGGAACTCTAATAAATGGTTATTTTATATACTTAATGATTTTAAACACCACCCTCTCTTGTAAAGAAGCAAAAGAAATAATGTCTGGAATTCAAACAAAGACCACAACTGAAAACAAGATCCTCCAAAAAAAGTTAGAATTAAAAGCAGGAAATCTGACCCTGCTGGCAGTGATGATAGTGGCATCAACAACACAGAGTTCCAACTGAAACAATTCTAGGGGAGCAGAGGGAAATTAAAGATGTCTTGAAAAACGTAACTGAAACTCACCAAGTTTCAAGTGAGAAAGCTGGTCTACTGTGATCTGTGACAAAACAAAGAACATCAGACGTAGATGACTGAACACAGCTCAAAATCACACATTCTGAAGGGACTCCTTGTTGATTATATTAATGCTCTGAAGAAGGTTGAAAGAAAGAGATTAAACAATTTAAATGAAAAGTTGAATAATATGTCAACAAGGTACGAGAGAGAATATACTTGATTTAATCTTTCAGATCTATTATTGCAGATGTACAGTGCCTTGCGAAAGTATTCGGCCCCCTTGAACTTTTCAACCTTTTGCCACATTTCAGGCTTCAAACATAAAGATATAAATTTTTTAT